GGGGGAGCAAAAGAGAAAACAAAAATGAGAATGAAGCGAGTATGTGATTTTCACTTTATTAGAAACAAAGTCATTTATCTTTTCTGGCAGAAGCTTGAACCAAAGCAGCAGAGAAAACACAATCAGTATCTTCATGTTTAACCTTTAATCTGACTTGTCTATTTTGTCCTTTCTCCATTTCTTCCAATCTTTTTTACCCTTTTACCCCATGCTATAGACCCCTCCCCCTTTACATTATACTACCAACTAAAAAGTATGACTGAAACCTTTAAGTAGACAAGTGGCGTTCTTTTAAAAGCTACATTACCAAAAACTTGCATTTAATCAAGTTTTAGAAAACAGGATCATAAGTTTTCTAAGTCTTTAATAGAAAAGCCATACTGAAACATGTTTTGACTTTTTTCTTAAATGTCTGTCCTGTCCCCCCAGCCCCTAGAGTACCCAGTTAGAATGACAGACATTCTAAACATGTTAGGGTGGCAGTAGGTTTTTGTTTTTTGTTTTTAAATTGGGAGAATAAGTCCAAAGAAGACTGTAGAAAAAATTTAAAAACCATCTTAGCACTTGAAGGAACTTATCACCCAGGCCAACACCTTTCATTACAGATTGAGGGCCACAAGATAAAACAATCAAGTGCAATTTGTTATCACAGGCAAGAAAACAGGCCAGAAGAGAGAATGCATTCATTTACCTTTACATGAAACATAATTGATGTTCACCTTGTTAACACCAATAAAATTTAAAGTCATTGTCAAAGAAATTTACAACAAACAGCACTATACTAATAAAAGCAAACGTGGTTAGAATGATTTTACTTCTCCCATTTAGGCTTTCCAAATTATTAGAAACAAAATTACGCTGTTTTAAATCAGTGACAGCCAAATTCCCAAGTTTCACAGGTGTTTAAAGAGCTCATAAAATTTGCTCTTATTTCCAAACCAGTCGATCAGCAAATTATGGTTTAACACCATAATTTAATTAAGTTAGGTATGTTATACTGCTACTGCTTGGGGCTTTCTGGTCCAATTCTCAAGGTTTCCCATTTTAAGATTCAGACTGTATACCACATCAGTACGATAAAAGACAATGTAAATGGATTCGTGGTTGTCACATAGCACAATATTCTAGTTTAATCCTTTACCAAACCACCTTTACCAATCCTTTACCAAAAAAATCGACAATATTTTTTTCTTGTTCAACCTAGGTTCTTTTTTATTTTATCCTAGCCCTTTAAGCTCCTAGGAATTTTAGATGTCGAAAACATTCCTTGTGCACGGGACTCAATATTATATGGTTCAATAGGATCCGTTGTGGCTGGCCTTGGACATTTCTTGTTAACTAGTGAGTATCTTTTTCTCTATGTATAAAAACACATCTGTGTGCGCTGAACAATTATTTTCTAGATGGAGTAATATACATAATTATAATTACAGTGGTTGTGCTTTTTGACAGGTAGAATTAGAAGATCATGTGATGTTGGAGTAGGCGGATTCATCTTGGTGACTTTAGGATGCTGGTATGTGTATCATGTATTCAAGATCCATGATTGTAATAGGTTTATCTAATTCCAAAGCACATGCTCTTTTCAGAGCAGTCTACCATTGGGAAATTCCCACCTTATTTTTTTAAAAAAAAACCAGCTTTTTTAAAAAGGACTTTTTTTAATAGAAATTTCTTACAAAATGATTTTACTGGAATGCTCTTACCTGTGTTTTATACCATGTCAAATGAGCAGATGACTGCATGACACTACACATGCCATTAATACCAAGGTGTGGTTCATACTTTGTTTAGGAAGGCTCAACCTTTTACTTCACCCTAATGCTCATTTCAGCCCTGCTTATGGCATCACCTCTGAAAATGTTACTTATGTGTTCACAGCTACTACTACTATAGCATGGATGAATCGCGAATGTATTTTCTTGAGCAAAAAAAAAGCCAGACCCAAGTACATACTATATGGTTCCATTTATGAGGCTCTGCAAGTAAAACTAAGGTGATAGAAATCCTCATTTCATATAAAACATATTTTAATAAACGAATGTGTTCATAGGTATCTTTGACATCAAACCACCATAAGATACAACTCTAAATTAGAATGATTATAATTTAAGTCTTGGGGTACTCAACTGTAAGCATTTTTTAATTTTATTATAAAATTTCAAATGTTTCTATAGGAATTTTACATTAATGACTTACTCGTGTTCTTTTCTTACAAGGTTCCATTGTAGGTATAATTATGCAAAGCTAAGAATACAGGAAAGAATTGCCAGAGAAGGAATTAAAAATAAGATTTTATATGAAAGTACCCACCTAGATCCTGAAAGAAAACAAACCAACGGTGACAGCAGCAACTGAGCAGAGTCTTGTGTATAGAAAACCCCAGAACACCTCCCTGACGTAACTCAAGTCAGTGCGAGCAAAGCTGAGATCAACTCTGTCAAACGTTGTATGTACCGTAAGAAGGCTTTCAATCCAGCAAATAAAGTATGTGTAAGTTGTAGTCTTTTTTTTCAACACTTGTGTGAACACTTACAAACTTATTCTGCCCTGCGGCATCTCCTGCCACTGGGGCGTATAGTGGACTTGTCACGCTTAAAATAACCTAGTTCAGCATGCTTAGAAAAGTCTCCTTGTAATTATAAGTAGTGAGTATAGAAGACAGCACTACAAGAAATAAAATCTCTCCCCATTGCTTTTAAAAACTCAACTTATGTTACTGTACCCTGTTAAAAAAATGAGGGAAACCTTCTTGGTTTAAGCCAATGCTAATATAAGACTTAAAACTAATGGACTGTATCATTTTGCAGTTAAGGTAAAGGTTGTTTTTAACTGCTCTTAATTTTTTGAAAGCATACAGTTTGTTTTTAATAGAATTTATGTACATGCATACAAAATTTTTTTAAAACTTGTTTAGCACAAAAGAAAAAGAACTGCAGGATTAACTACATACATATAGTATTATCCTGATGCAAACAGACATTTATAACTCAATCAGCTACCATAATTTAAAAAATCCAACTAAGTCCACGGCAACTTATTTATTCAGGAAAAAAACTCTCCCTTTCCAAAGCAATGAAATTGTTTAGTTTGTTTTAGTATCAACATTACAAAATATGAACTAGAAGCCTTCCTGGCTAAGAAATTATAAATATGAAAAAAGACACCAGGGGACAAGATTGTGGCATCACTACGGGTCCTGTTACGTGATCATCATGGTGAGCTAAAGCAGTTAGGGCAAGAAAGAGATGTCCTAAAACTTGCTCCAGTTCAGCTCACCAGAGAAATAGCATTTTCCCTCCCATGCCCACCTTCCTGTGGCTGTCCTGAGGGCTAGGGTGCGTAAGCTATGCGGTTTACCAAATGCCGTAACTACTAGTGAATGACTTTGTCGAGCATGTGTTCTAAGAGATTTTTCTTGATCATAATCACCTGGCAGCCACCAGAAGACTTGGACGCTGATTAGGGAAGGAAAGGTTATTAGGAAAATGCAGTTTACAAGAACATCTGCTCACTCTTACCGACACACAGCGAAGTTAAGTACAGTCTGTTACTCAGACTGATCATGACCAAAATAATTATGTTAAACATTCTGTGATGTGACAGTCACTCATGTTAAGAGGCAGCACGGCACGAGTACTAATCAAATCTGATATTTAACCAGCTATTTGTGCAGGCCACTTATGTTTTCTCAGCTTTGGTTTACAAATGTAACATGTAAAACCAGGCAACTGGATTCAACTGACGAAGTCCCTTCTAGCTCTAACATACTATGATTACTTCTTACCCTGAGTGAGAAACCTCTCTCGGCTGATAAAAATTTCCAAGGCCTTCACCAGCAACAAGGTTTCATTTTCACAGCAGAATGACTTCCTAAATTGGGGACCTGGATGAAAACAAAGTATGACACATTTAGTTGGATTACTTTTTAAATGTCATTTCCTAAATTTACATGATCATTAACACTTTGTATTTCCTCAACTAGTAAGATGCTACAAAATGTACTAATTAATTACTGGGCTGTGTCACCTACGGCAAGGCCCTTATGGCACTGCTACTGGACCCTTCCGTAGGCTTCCACGTCTTGACACTTGCACTCCTGGTCTCTCCAGTCCAATCCATTTCCACTCCACCGTCCAACTCCACTTACCAACCAGCTGTTTCCAGTGCTCGCCCGCCCATGATGCAAATTCCTGCCTCTGCTCAGGCTTTTTCATTCGGCTGTGAACGTCCTTCTCCTACATCCTGTAACATTTTTATTCCCTGGCTCACCTCTGGGAATTAGAATCACCTTCTCGTTTAGGTTCCCACACTACTGTTCCATCTGTTACAGTAGTTGGCACTCTCATTGGTCACCGACTTGTGCTACAAATAGAGCCTAAGTTTCTTGTCAAGAACCCTGCCAGTTTTTACAATGGCAACCAAATGTCCGGCACCAAACTCCAAACACGTGTTAAACTGAATTACTAAATGTTCATTAGCAAGCAGACAAAGTCCAGATTCCTTCTCATCCAAACACACTTTTCAGATTTTAAACTTAAGGAGTAACCTACCTTCCATGCCCACTTGGAACCTCCAGCTGGATGAACTGCTTCCTTCATTGTCCCATTAATTCCGAAATTCACACTAGGTGATATAGCAGTAGGTACCAGCTAAGTAGCTGATTAAAATAGAATTGTGGTCATTAGTAGTTTTAAAAACTTTGTGGCTCATCTATCATATCTACTTTGTTGAATCCCTCCAGAGCTCTATCTCCCCCTTCCCTCACCCCTCCCCTCTGTTCTTCCTTGAATACTTGCTTTTACATTTCAGTTAAAGGACCTCAGGGCATTAAAATTAACTACAAGCCTTTCTCTGGACTTGTGATTTATACTGACCAAGTTGGGCAACAAGAAATTTTGGCTATCCCTAGTACCATTATTTGATTTGCAAGCATCTCTTTTAAGTCTACGTACCTCTACTCCATCGCTGGTTTCCCTTTGCTTCGATTATATAATGCGAGGAGGTCTATATAATAAATTCAGGATTCCTGTTTTTGCACTTTGCAGCAAAGAGCTAGGAATCAAATAGGGTTTGAATCCTTCTATTCCTAGATAAAAATGTTGGCGGATGGGGGTCAAGGTACCCCTTTAAAAGTCATGTTAATATATAAACTACATTATGCTTTGGGTAAGCAGCAAACCTTAATGAGGAAAGTAGAAAAATTAAAACGATTGCTATAATTGGTTTTTAATGGTCCTCTAGAATACTTTTGGAAGCATTTTAAAATAAGATCCAGTGGTCATCAAATCGGGTTAGTATAATATACCAATATCCTCTATTACCCAAATACTGGTATCTTACACTTATTTTGTGCATTAAGTTCCACCTTTAAATTTTCTCTTAATGTGTTGGCCAATAACAGTCTTTTCAACCACTGCATCTGCCTTCCTGTTTACTTCCTAGAGTAAGGACAGGATGACTCCTTCCCCCCAAGTACTATCTTGAGAAAGCTATCAGTGACACTATGAGCAAGCACTAATTTTAAGAGGCTTCTACTGTTCACTTTACAAGTTTAGATCAACTTAACAGGCGATTATCTTATCCGTTTCACCTTTTTTCTAGGAATAACTTCCATTATGTCTCACCCTTAGGGGATAAAAGTATAAACAGTCTGCAAGTACTGGTTTCTTAAAGGATGCTTCCACTGAAACGTTTCCTCCCCTTGGACTGTGAGGACAAGTCATGTGAAATGAAACATGTTTTACCATCTAAATCCAAAGTTTATTTTGGAAACTTTTTCTAATTTTATGGGTTATTTTTTTCCTCAAATGAAGTTATGATTTTTTTACCTTTTACTTTGAAACCGAGTTGTCTGCTCTCCAGAAGCCATTAGACTGTTTTTAGTTGACAGAGTAGGGCTCATTTCATTGAGCAAACCCTGACAGCTTCGTTTCAAACCAGTATAGCACCCAGGTCCTCTCATTTCACTAAAATACATAGTTCTGGAGTACATAGTGGGAAAAATTAATTTCGTCTAAACTTATCGAGTTTTAGACTTCAGGGCAACAGGAAACTACATGCTCTGGACTGGCACTGAGCCGAGCTCACGCTGAGCTTTCTTATACCTTCTATTTACAATTTAAATGTTCTTCCTAGTTGATTTTATGTACTGATGTGAATTTTTATCACTTCACTAACCAAAAGGATCTCTTTTTTTCCCAAAACCTTACAATCTGACAAAAAAGGTTCATGCAGAAAGATTTGGGGAAACTAAGGACATAGGTATTCTAATTTTTTTCTCATATTAGAATCTGCATTTAAACTCTGCCAGTAGGGAAGACATTAAAACAAATGTCTTGCAAAAAGTTAAACAAGAATTTAAACCATTAGAATAAAGATCTAAGCTTGAAAGGACTCAGCTCCTATTCAAGAAGACCGCCTATCAGCTTAGATACACCAAATACTAAAGGTATACAAATTAGAAAACCTTTTTTTCCCCCCGTTGTATAACCTATCCATCTGGATACCAAATTTCTCCCATTCCCATCTCTTTAAAATAAGGGAGGTTTTATTTAACGTGATCCTAGAAGCCCAACGTAACAAACGTTAAATGTACAAGCAGCAGTTAACGCGGAATACCTATTCGAGTCACTGGAACACACTTAGTTGGGCCCTTTTACTCTTCCACACAGCACATTCACATGGACAGACTAAGGAAAAGGAGATGAAATTTAAATCAGCACTTTTTTTTTTTGCTTTATTACTTTTCAAAATAAATAGTAAAGTTGGAACCTTCTACTGTACTTGACCGTGACTCCCATGTTCCCATCTCCCTTAACTGAGACACAAAATACCTTCAAGAACTAGCCTGTTGCCATTCAAATAAGCCCCATTGTTCTGAATTATTGATTTTACATCCCTCTGTATGCCTTAACACTTTAAAACTTTTATGCCACGTGAGTTAGATGTCTATACTGGCCAACTCACTGTTCTTAGCGGTTTTTACTCAAAATTTTGGGGGGGGGTAGTAACTTGTGGCAATGTTTCTCAATTGCTTGACGAGCATAAAATATTTTACTGGACAAAACTAGTTTTACTTCAAGATCAGACTGTCAAAGGAATGGCAGGAAAGAGCATGCCACAAACAGTGTTCATCAGTCAGATGTTCTGTTAGTGAGCTCTCTAGGCCGCCGACCCGCTGGACATGCCCACGAGTAGCTGCTGTGCCACTGGGACAGCACTGTGACTTAACAGGGCAATAAGCAATACGGGTCTGAACTGAACCTTTCTGCACACTTCTCTATTTGTCTAGACCGTTATTACCTTGTCACTTATAACAAGTTTCTCATACCCACAGACTCAGCTTTGTTTAAAAGCAAAACCCCTGTTCCTTGTCAAGATGTAAGTTAATGTTGAATCCTGGCATGAAAAAGGAGAAATTATATTTCTAAGCATTAATTAATTACAAATTAAACACATGGTTAAGTTTCTTGTCCCAATAACCCACCTACCAGTGATTACTGACGTTCTCAACTATGTTACTTATAGCATTTGCTCACCTACTAAAACTGCATCTACAGTCATAACTAAAATTGCCAATTAACTGTAAAAGAAAAAAATTATACTGGTTCAGCTATACACATGAACATCACATTCCCAACTGCACAAGATGTTACATTGAGTAATTCCAGATTAACATTATATGATTTTTCCACCTATTTCCTATCTACATCTACTATCCTTTATAGATTAAGTCCCTTGAACAAATTAAACATTCATAACCACCTGTATTTTTAGACAACTGGCCAGGAAGTGAAAGTACATCCTTATTAAATGTAAGTGGCACAATCTGTTAGCCATTCTCACCTACCCAAAGCTCTTATTTTCTGGGCTCCAGCTGTATGCATAGTGCAAACTGAATGTGACCACCAACTAAACATATTTAGCAAAATATAAATCATTCCATATGAAGGTGGGAGTTCAATTTCAAACATACACATAACTTAAAGCTTTGTAATGTTAAGATACTTGGGGATCCTGGTTTTGAAATTTTCCTACTCCAACACATTTGAGCACTGTGGCTCCCTTATAAAATCCTCAAGGGTTTATTTTAAACAAAGTCTGGTTAAAAAGGCAAGTCACCTCAATATGAGTTAGCTAAAATATTTTTACTATTTGTCTTATAAATATGTACCTGTAGTAACAGTACTAGGTCAAAAATTAGGGATCAGAGCAGCCTAAACAAACACTAAACTGGCTAGATCCACACCTGAATATTTTAGTGTAAAAGGTGAAAGAAAATTAAAATCTAAAAATAATCCAAGGAAAGGCTCTCTCCATAGCAGGAGGACATTCAATTTGTTTTTAGGTAAGTTTAGGCAATTAATGATTGGAAGATACTATAGTTTACATAACTAATAAACACAAATTGCTGTCCCTTAAAACAATGTATTGCCAGATCATAATATGCTTTGTTTTTAACTATGACTAAAATGTTATATCTTAAGCCCAGGTTTCCTGAGCCTTGGAAATATGAACAAAGTTTAGACTCGAACCGTTTCAAGAACGTTAGGGAAAAAATGGCTTTAGAAAGAATCATGTTAGTCTATGACCGTGCCTCCCTGAACAAGCGCGATTCCATCTGATCTTGGAAGCTAAGCAGGTTCGGGCCTGGTTAGTACTTGAATAGGAGACCATCTAGGAAGACCAGGTGCTGTTGGCGTAAAAATAAAAAATACGGAATTGTAAGAACATGACAAGGTCCTTGCAATGTGTGAGATCGACTAAGGACTGCTTTGCCTAAAAAAATAAAAAGAATCATGTTCATCTTTCCAGAACATTTCAATTGCTATTCTGGTAGGTTGGAGAGAAGACTGTTGTCTTGCAGGTTCCATCCTTTTTCTTAAAAAAGACATTTTATAGTACATCTAAGAAGAGAATTATGGGAAATGTTTTCCAGAGATATCTTTACGTCTAAACTAATACCAAAAACTAAGATTTGGTCTATGAAAGAAGTTTATGCCTCCCTTAGTATAATAACCTTCATCTGGTTTTGGCGTTTCAAAAACACCAGATATGCTTACAGACTGACGCTCAGACCTTTGTCAAATGTCTATAGCACTAAGTTATTTCAGCATTTTTATTTGTATAGTGGAACCTGCTATAAAAATGATCCTAGGATAAAAAGCAAATGTTTATAAAAAAAAGTCAATCCCCACATCCAAAGCAAATATTAAATACAGAATACAATCTGTCCATGATATGAACTCCCCAGGTAAGTGAAAAACATACTGTTACCTTTCCTAAAGTTTTAATTTTTCAAAGAAAAATGTCTTAAAGTTTTAATACCTTGTTGCTAGTGCTTAGGATTATCTAATGTCGTATTCCTTATTTTCAGACCAGCTCTACCCTAGGTAAATGAGATTATTTTGTGGATATTTAAGGCTTTTTGTCATTTCAATGTCAGATTGATTTGACTCACTTTAAGACTTCTTGCTGTCATTAGGGCCAGAAGCTGGTCCCACCTTCTAGGTCAGAGCCAGATGCCCACTCCACCCCCATCACAAGCTAGGTATGTGTTAACAAGGTGTAACCTAGCAGCACAGAATCTCCTGTACCATGGCAGTTCGGGTTACTTCATCCTTTCCATCTTGCAGCATTCCCGATTATCCTTATGCTGCTTTTCACACTACTGTAGCTGCCCAATCGGATCGAATTCCAGACTTGGGGTGATAGGTGTTAAGTACCTGCAAAACTTTCTAGTGAAAAGGCACAGCAATCTCACTGGTTTTTCTCTAGGTATAGCTGGGACATTTGTTCAGCACTATACCTGGCTGTTTTTATGTGGTGTTTTGCTTGCCAGCGGGGAGGTAGGCAAGGGGAGGGAAAAATGAATCAGGTTTCTCATTCACAGGTCTCACTGTGCCAAACTTGGCATTTAACTTATTTTTCTTCCTTTTGTTTGCTATTTGGTGTACTCCCTCTTTTCAATTTCTAGAATACTGATTATTTTTTTTGTACAAACAGACATTACTATTAGTTCTGATCTTGCGTCTACTCCTTAAAATTTTAACATTTTCCTAGACATTTTATCTTTCTTCCCCAAATTTTCTGGGCTACACAGTTATAATAGTCTACACCAAATAGTGTTATTTGACCATTACTCTCCCACTGCAATTATTAGATAAGAATTCCTTAATAAGCAATTTTAAACCAGAAGGTATGTGCAAAATTTTTTTAAAGACATCCAAACATTCAAGGATATCTAAACACTGATTAGCAATTGTTTGAATTTTGGCCCATGGGTTTAAGTCTAGCAGTCCTAATAATATATACTGACTGAAAAGTAACTCATGCCAGTGATTGCAAGCAGTAAGCTAACTGCTAAAAAGACAAAAGCCCTTGAAACATTACTTTGTATTAAGTATTCTTACACTGACTTTAAGATTAGCCCCTGTTCCATAAATTTCTCAACTGAACCTACACCATCATCTAAAACTCAGCTGCAACTGAGCTTGTAGCAAGAAAATTCCTAGGAGTATAAATAAGTTAAAAATCTGATTTCAAATGACTGAAACAAAAATCTAAGCAATCAAATATAGACATCCTAAACTTACCAGAAGCAACCTAAAACACCAACAAAACACTAGACTGAAGTTTTAGTTCTACAGTTTGACTCCTGATTCCTCACTTCACATTAGTGAGGTTCCTTTAGAAGATTAAGTGTTCTGTGCAAACCCAATAAAATTACAATTAGGGGATCTAATGTTATCACATAGCTACAGTTAAGTTAGCAGTGTTGTGTAGTAGTGATTCAATGACTGGCTTGCATGATGGCTTCTAAAAGCATCTGTTCCCAGAGTTTCATGTATTATATATGTATATAAAATAATCAGTTGAGGACAGCCATTAGCATTTCGTAAAGATGATAAACAGTGTTAAACTTCTCCCAGCCATTACCTTTTCCCCTCATTAAATGTTAAGTCATCTGCGGGGGAGGGGAAGGGAAGAATTCAGCTTTACTTCATAAAGTCAATTGTCAATATACATTTAACATTTAAGTTTTTAAAACCTAAATGTTCCAAATACAGAGTAAAGAATAAGCTGTCCAGAAAGCACACACTTAAAATTTCTCCTCTTGGGAGTTTTATAAAGGGATTTTAAACCTTGATGGCGAGAATCCCAAAACGAGAGTAAAATGAATTCTTTTTATTGCAAACAAACGTCTAAATTAATTTCTCCACCCACTTTCTTTAGAAAGAAAAAGAAATCAGCAGGCTAAGGAGATACCCATTCAAAAACTGACATGATTAAAAATTAAGATATAAATGGGTGACTCACAATTGCATTAGCTTACAAAGATGGTGGAGGAAACTACTACAAGCACACTAGTTATACAGTATCTTGTGGGAGAAGGGCATACAGACAGAGCTAACTTCATATAGATCCCATTAGACAACTGGATTTACAACAAGTTTTTTTTTAATAAGAAATGGGCAAAGCCAGCTTTCTTTTCAGAATCAAAATGCAGAACAAATGGAAAAATTATGGTATTTAACCTTCACAAGTTTGAGCCTCCACAAATAATGCAACCAAGTTTTACATTTTTAACAGCCCTTCTACATACACTCCATCTTCTCTATCTTAGTTCCAAGTTGTATCTTCATTCACTTATGCCAATTCCATTGTTATTTAAAAAGAAAAAGCCTTCCCAGTTATTGCCAGAAACTACTATTTAGCTTACCCCCTCCACTACTCAGCAAACTACAGAGAGGATGGAGTGCAATACGAGCAGTACAGAGTCTTATGCAATTCATGAGGACCGCTCAGTCCTTACATGAATCTGGTTGCTAACATTTCTATTATATTGTGACAATGACTCCCGACTGTTATCTCTGTGAGAAATGGGGGGAGTAAATTCTTAATAAAAGACACCAGGTACAAAGCAACATTTTACTTTTGTTGTGATAAAAAAAAAGTCACATTTTACAGATAAAATGTAGAACCCTGAAATACTGACACATTCTCTTATCGTGCACAATGCTGAGGTTCTCTTACGATTCACTTTAAAACTGCAATTAAAAATGTACAAAAAAGAAAAGAAAAAAAATCAACCCACAAAGCTTCTAAAAAAGGAACCCGCAGGCACTTCCTCTTGTGGAATGTTTAAAAAGTTAGCCTACTAAAGAAAACAGTCGACTTCTTGTGAAGGTTTTGGAGAAATATGTATCAGTTCGTTTTATTTGGGTATTCAATAATATCCTTGGTGATAATGCTGACTCCATGGCTTCTGACCCCAGAATTGCTGTAAGAGAAAATTTTTTTTTTAAAGAAAAAACATCAATAAGCCACTCAAACTGCTTTTAGGAAATGACAATGAATCTAATTCAGAGTAATTGCTGGAAACAAATTTATACCTGTCATACCTCTGATTTCTATCAAACCAGATTCAGTTAGTATTAATAACCCATTATTATCAATAAACACATTACAACAAAAGGAAACACACCAGGACTTGGTTAGTTTACACAATTAATACTAGTCATAAAAAGAAACATGTATTAAATAACGTTACTTTATTAAAAAAAAATATAGTAAGTTACAGCGAACTCCAACCTATTATGCCTTCAAAAAATAAGATTATGGCTACAACTGCAACACAATTCACAGTGCCCTGTTAGCATTTACAAACACTTCAATCCCTGGATAAAAATCTTTTTGAAAACTGATTCTCTTGAACTCAAAAAACAATGTATATAAGCACATAAGACATTACTTACACCCTGCTGCCACTGGTTGTAGCCCTGAGATTGATTTTTGTAGCCACGATTGTTTCCTCGTCCTCTGAAGTTCTAAAAAAAAAAAAAAAAGGGAAAAAAAAAGATGATTAAAAAAAATCTTTAAGAACTCAGAGTGCAACTTCTTACGTTTGGACATGGGAGGGATGAAGAACAGCACAGAAATGGATAGCTGGTACTTACTGCACCTGCAAAATCAAAATTAGGTGGACTCGTTTTACTACTATCATTCATTTTTTCTTACATCAATGCAGACACAGTTCATATGGTTCTGGGGTTATGCAACATCTTTCGGATTTGTTTATACAGATAACTACTGCCTGCATCCTTCCTGCAGGGATGGTGAATCATTACCTGGTTGTAGTTCCCTCTGTTGGGCATGCCACCTCTGCTGTAGTTCCCTCTGTTTGAGTAGCCACCTCGGCTGGGAAAGACAGGGCCCCGAGGGTATGGATAGCCAATTCCACCACTTCCGCCTCCGCCACCACCTCTCTGTGGCATGTTGCCCCTCCTATTATATCCACCACGATTCCCAGGAGCTGAAAATGAGACATTTAATTCAGTGTTTTGTGCCACTTTTACAGATGCTACTTAGAGGGTTCTTCTGGACTGTTCCTTCATTTTAGGAGGAAAAAGAACATTTAAAGACAAAAATGTTTAACTGCTCACATAACGTAGGTGTGTATACTACCAAATCACATTAAGATTTTAAACTAGTTACTAGGGCAGCTAAGATCAATAAGGATTAAATTTCCTTATGACATACAGATCCAAATTAGAAGACTGCTACTTATTTCAATGTTGGAACTACACAGAACTCAAAATTAACTTGCCTCCACCTCTGAAATTTCCACCTCGCATGTTGAATCCACCACGTCCTCTATGGCCACCGCCTCTGTTAAACTGGTTCTTGCCACTCTTATTTTTATTGCTCTTCTTTGAGCCAGTGTTTTGTTTCTTTTCTGGTGGAAGCGCCTTTTTGCTTTCTTCCTTATACTGCTCCAAAAGTTTTTGGGCTTCCTCCTTCTGAAGTTCAACATAGGTTATTTCATCAAAGCACTCAGCTACCTCTGGCAGTGTAAAGTTTCCTACAAGGAATAAAGTCAGATTAACATAAACCACCAAATTCATAGTCCTTAAGCCTATAATTCTTGAATGGCTTTAAGTGTTTCAACACACACTACAATATCTACTGCTGGTTTAGGAACACATTTTCCTTAAAAGTAGAAAGCCAAAAACACTTTTTTACAAAGAGTTAATGTAACTCCTGAAACAATATTACTACCGAAAAATGTTAAATTTACATATAAAAGTCATACAAAGAGATTTAACATAACAGAATTCAGTTCCATGCCTTTCATTTTGAGGACAGCGTGTTCTGGCAGGTCTTTTCCCTCTACTTCTGCTTTCTTCTGTGTCCTTTGCTTATAATCTTCATCCTTTGGGCAAACTACAACAGCTTTTCGTTGAAAGCCTGCAAACAGGCACATTTTTCTTCTCTGGGCAGCAGCAGATACATTTGTCTTTAAAAAAAAAAAAAAAAAGTTTATTATAAATTCTACACCAAATCCAATTAGGTTACTTTTTCGTCTTCAAAGATACAGCTTACCTGATCCAGAATAAAATTTCGCTTCTTACGGGCAGCAATCTCAATAAACTTCCCAAGACACTGTGGGGCTCGCTGCAACAGTGTATTCAGTTTTCCAGTATCAGCCATTTGCTTCTTGAAACCTGCCACCTATTTTTTAAAAATTAAAAATTTCCTTTAAACTTTTGATTCTCAAGCTAAACTTTATATCACAGCTTGTATCTATATAGAAAGCTGGCACACTTAAATTTAAATATTGCTTTTTCCTACTACTGCTACCAAAAAAAGTCACTATCATGTAAGATGTGCTATTCAATTTTTTTAAGCTTCTGGATGTTGCAAGAGTTCAAAAAATTCTTTGGCAAAGACAACGAAGCCTAGCCTTGGGAAGCCAGTTTATCTTACAGATAAAGAGCCCACACCCAAGTGATCAATTTAATTTGTCCAAATTCCTACCCCTAAGATACTATCAAAATGGATATAAGAACAAGAAAAAAGGGTTACTTAGAATAATTTCTAGTCTTTTTAAAATGCTGACATCATGCCCTGAACATTTTACTTACCATCATTTTATCCATTATGGTATTTGTTCCAAGAATGTTGTATTTACCAGGATTTTCCGCGGCATGTTTAGTAACCCAGGTAGTTTTTCCAGCTCCTGGCAAGCCGATCATCATAACAACCTACAATGGAAAGAAACGTTATTTCACTGATCATTAGTCGTCACATAAAAATTTTAAAAATATCTTCATACTCAATAACCCACTTTAAGTATCAAAATTTTCACAGCCCTATAACGAGGTAATTTGTGGAAAGGGAGAAGATAGGTACTGAGAGAAAAATCACCAAGCAACAGGAATGGCTCAAAAAGGAAACAGATGAATCATTTAGCTCTTCTAAATGTAATTTTTGCCAAGCTATAGCAATGCTTTATGCTTTTTTAAAAAATCACTTACTTCACAATCTTTCTTCTCTTCAGGCCCCTTTGGACCTCTAACTCGGTCCTCTAAGGGGACATTCTGGATAAAAGTATAGTCTTCAGGAATTGGAAAATATGGCTTTTCCTTCTGACCAAAATTAAATTCAACAGCGCAGTTGTGGCAGAGAACATGCTGAGAGAGTGGCCGTCCAGCAAGAACCTCCTTACTGATTTTGAAGGCAACGCCAAGATCTTGTCCATTCTTTGCATAGGAGAGTTCTACTTCATCACTTTCAAAGTTCTGTTAAGGGGCGGGAAGGGCGGGGGGGTGTTAAATTTAAAAAATTAGGCCTTCTAAAACACTTTAAAATTTAAATTAGGAGTGAAGCTTATCCTGTAGAAGGCATGTGTTTGTTAAGTTTTAACAGCTTTCTATTGGTTATAAACGATGAAACACCTATAACCAGCAGCAGAAACAATACTGTCTTAGCAGACTAGATTTCCAGGTCAATGCAGTGTTAAACAATTTTCAATCAAAAGGAGTTAATAATGAATTCCAACACCGATATATCTTTAAAGAGTCTCTAAGCTTATAACTTGCCATTTATAAAAATTTAGCTATGACTTACAGCAAAACATGTTATCACATCATTTTCATCAAACTTCTCTCCATAATCTTCAGTCTCACAGTTGCATGTTTTTATTCCTTTTAGAGAATACCCATAAGAAAATTCTTCTTCACCTAAGAAAATAATTAACTACCATGAAGTCACTTTTTCAAACAGTCCAATGGCCCACATATTTTAATATTCAAGATATAAGCTTCAAAAGATGACTAACCTAATGTTTTTCCACTGACATCGACTCTATACTAGGTATTCAATTAACGAGAGCCAGATGAATTATGTAACTTAGTTGACGAACTGTGTAACATGGGTTACATTCTACCTTAACCACTGGTCATAAAATAAGTTAACCACAAAGGAATAAAACCTAAAATTGAGCCTGTGCCTGCTATTATTCATCACGTTTAAAATATTAACAGAATGGACAAAAACAAGCAAAAGGTTTGGAATGCCTTCTACTCTACCTACTGAAATCAGCCCTGAAAACTCACGAGCACACAGTACTCAAATGGAAACTTTACCAAGCAACATTCCACTTGTCGTTAGAGACCACCCAATCCGAACTTCATGTATGTCAATATCTTTTGTATATAAATGCCTCACTGGGATCTTCTCTGTAACCTGAAAGTCAAATCATAAATGATTAAAAATTTTAATCCAATAGATAAATCCAGGAACTCTGGCTTATTTCATTTGGGCCTTGGGCTACTAATATAAAGACACACAAGAACCCAAAAAAAACTGATGTAGGGGCTTACTGAATTGAAATTAAAAAGGTTTAAGTACTAGGTTGATTCACATTTAAAAGAACAGCTAATGTTTAAAATTTACATATCCTCTATACCCAACCTAAACCAATTAAAGTAATAAACATTCAGCATTTTTTTCTCTGGAACAAAACCAGAAGTTTAAATTTTTAAACCCTTAGTGGGTTTTCTCACATCTCACACATACACACATACACACACACACAGCACCCTTAATAAAAAAAAAAGGGGGGGGAGTCTGACTCTATTACACAAATTCTGATATAACGAGTTCAACTATTACAAAAGGTTTCCAAGCCCCTTTTCTAATCCACAGAAACTTCAAAAACAGAAAAGTTCCACCAACATTACACTCACAAAAAATATACATAAATCACAAAATTCTATTTACCTTCATTTCAAAACAGACTTTGCCCTTTGATACACCGTAAGATGCCCTTCCTCCAGCCCAAAGAAAAGCAAAACTCTCCATAGTAAGGGAAGAAGCACTGAGGCGATCTCTTGATATTTTAAAATGCAGATCACAATTATCTGTAAGTATATCAAACACCACATTATTTCTTTTGACATCCAATGTAAATGTGTCTGCTATATAGACAAATCTTGGTTATTAACTTTTTGCATATTTCTAAATGCAGCACAGAACATTTTTAGATCATGCTGTTCTAAATTTTCAGTCTAAGCCCCACTCCCACCAAGTCACTCTTGCCAAATTATGAACTAAAGGGTAAACTACCTAGAGAACCAAGACACACCAAAGCTTAACGTGTATTTTAAGAATATAAAATAATCAAGACAATGTGACATTTAATACATACCTGCTCTGCTCTTTACCTTGATTTAGAGGCAAGCAGTAGAGGATAGCAGGAAATCAAAGTGAAGCATGCCAGAACCAGGTAGATTTTACCAGTGCCACAATAAAACTGAAGGGAGGCCATGACCAAATATTTTTAAGTAGGAGTATGAGCTGTTGATCCTAACTTTGTAATTTTAAAACACTAGGGGCTCTAGATCCTAAATTCTTTTCTAAAACTTGTGAAGAAAGCAACCTCAAACTACAAAGCACCAACATGGTTGTCTAACACTGAAACTAATACAGCACTTTAGGACCTCTTTCTCCAGGCTTGCCTGTCACTCAAAAACAATTGGGGGATTACCCATTTCCGGGATTATCCAAATCCAAACGTCTTTAACCTTTGGGTCACTGGCTCATTAGCATGTACTTTCTCAGAGTTCTCACTTATGAGCTAAAGTTAGAAAGCTGTTTTAAGTTTTGACTGATGAGAGAAAATTAAATCTAGTTTGGAATTCCCTTCAGCTTTGCTCTTAAAATTCCTATCATTAACAAAATTTTCAACCTCATAAATTGTGTTTAAACCCAACATTGTGCTTAAATTGATATTCCTAAGTGATCAGCTAAAAGCCTGTCTACAACAGTATAGCGCCTATTACTTTTCTTGAATCGTTGCTTCAGTATCTCGCCAATACCTAAGTCTTTATTTTTAAGCAACCAAATTTAATAAAACTTCCAAATCAACTACTTTTCCACGTACAACTTTTCTTTTACGACTCCACTATCTCAACTACCTGTAAAGGATACTCAATAAGAAATCAAGAGTTTTACACTTACATATCTGAATAAAAATTGGTATTCAAAAACATGAAAATCTAAGCTTCAACTCCCTAGGATCTACACAGGGCAGGTTGACACCTTACTATACCCTCTTACTTTCCAAGCAATTACTTCTACCCTTCGTTCTGTTTATCACCAAAAGAACTGCCCATTCTGATCAAATACTACACCAACAAAACTTCTTTGTAATAAAATAATTACAAATCTGACAGCCACGGCCCATTTAGAGGTTTGCAATACTTCCTCATATTCAATTGCAACCCAACTGGGTAAAGTAGCAGTATTTACAGCGCTGCCATTGATACCATTCGCTGCTGAAGAAAGCTAGTGGCCCAGTGATAGCCCACTGCTGCTGCCCCAGGTCTTTGGAAGAAATCAACTTATGTTAAAGCAGCAGCTACTGAACTGGAATTGAGAACAAAAGAGCAGTTATTGAGAAAGTAATATTACAGTCTTTTAGAATAGGGAATATACTTGTGTGCTAATGGGAAAAGTCATTAATAATTATTTAACTAACCCAAATAGCTCACTTAATATAATTTCACACACACACAAAGTTACTTTATAGAAGCAGCCCATAAGGACAAGGTATAGGTAGTATTACACGTTTCCGTTAGCTAGCTAGTCCAAAATTGGCATTAACTTTACATTCCTACGAAGATCTTTCAAGTCATATAAAAACATTACCAAATTGCTAGAGCCTGTAAAATTATCAATACAACTGATGCTGCACTAAACATTAGGCTATCGGAATCTACGTCATCTTCCTGCCTTTAAAAACCCATTTCTGCTCAACTTTCTGCACTTAAATTCAACGTACTATATTGTCTTCTAACATTTTGGAACCAAAAATTACCACATTCGATAATTGGGGGAAGAAGAGGAGAAGCAGCGTCACTTACAAGTATCAAGACAAACCACTGTGTCATCGAAGTGTTCATCTTCTTCTTCAACAGGTGGCTGGGGAGATTTGGCTCTGAAAGACAATATTGTCTCCTGATACAGCGCTTCCCACCAAAGAATAAAGAATGGGTGACAAGAAAAACTAGATGAGCATCTTCTACCTGCTATACTTGTTCTCCTCAATGTACTCAAAATATCCACGGCCATGATCTTCGCGAGGTCGTTTAACACCCCTCTTTTTATCTCCGCCTTTCTGCTCTGTTTTGCCGTCTCCTATAACACACAACACCCCTATTTAGGAAGCCAGGCCGCGACACAACAGGAAAAAACCCTTTTGTTTCCAGGCGCAAAAGAGCTCGACCTTTCCCTGTTCCTTTCTGCAAAGCGTTTTCAATCGACTAATCAAATGAGACTTTCAAACAATCGGCTTGGAATGGCAACAGAGTTAGGTGACGCAGTCTAAAGACATTACAAATTTTGCCAATCTATGCGGAAGATTCGAGAAAGCTAATGAAAAATAGCGCCGCCAGGCCGAGCCCACGTGCATCCTAAAGAGAGTTCAGGAAGAGGGGAGGGGCCGAGCCCGGCCCGCGCTCCCTGCCCTCCCCTCCCCCACCCCGGGCCCGCGCTCCCCGCGGC